GAGGAGCAATAGATGCAAACTGTGGATCACGCCATGCATTGCATTCTATGGTAGGAATCACTTTGCACCCCATTAACATCATCTCAGGGAGAAGGCTGTACATTTAAGCTAAATCTCAGGCTTCAATTGTCTCTTGTGAATGTCCCACATAAAAATTAGTCCTAGAGGGGTTATTTAATAATTACACAGGGTCCACAGATAATGCTCATCCTGTCCAGTAAGATATTCTTACAGAGCTTAATGGGATGAGTCCTAGATCTGTATTATACCTCCAGTGTTGCATTTTAGTTATTGTACTCTATTTTTTTCCTCATTTTACTCCCTCCTAAAATCTTGCTCCTTTGTCAATTTTATGCCATGAGAGGTACAACACAGTTATCTTGTGTAAAAGTATATGCATTTAAATGACAAATACTTTATTATTGTTCATTTGTCCGTAGGACCCCCAAATGGCTAGCACCGCCCTTGATCTTATGTGAAAATATGTCTCCTCCGTGTGCATGTATGCAAAGGACTGTTCAGAGTGCTGTTGTGACCATTCACATATGCTACAGCAGTGTTCATTTTCCTCTGCTTTTCTTGACTCATCAGCCACACAAATGTATGGCATTTTGAGCCAAAAAGCAAAGTTTTTGTTTTTTGTCAACAGATAGGCTGCAAGCTGTCAACTAGGGCTGCTCCAACTTGGCAAAAATCTAAATTGCAATGTATAAAAAAAAAGAAAAAAACAATATTGCCGTTGAAACCTTTTTGAGATATTCCTTTGCTTAACCACAAGCATTCAGATGTTTCACTACAGGATTTCATTGTTTTTACGACCTTAAAAGCGAGCTTGTCCAAAATCAACAGGACTTTTGCTATTTTTGTTTGGAAAATTGCCTTCTGCTACTGACATGCATGGATCTGCATTCTAGTTGCGACTCTATTCCCTTCTTTTGTTAAATCTAAAGTGACCAAAATTGAGTGCCTCTGCAATTTAAAAATTGTATTTTATCAAATTGCTATTAAAATACAAATGCAATTAATTGCCAGACCCTACTGAAAAGGTTGGCGTGGGGTTGGGGCGGATATGCCCCAGAAAGTCCAGGTATGTGAAAAAAGTACCATCACTCCGACGGGTAATATTTAGAAGTGATTTTTGTATACCGGCCCACTTTAATTTATGCTTAAAGATTTGCATACTTCAAAAAGCTGATACACTTTTTAGATTTTGAATTATAGACCTTCTGAAAAACCACCTATCACTTCCCCTTATACTTCTCGGTTATATACCATGTTGCCTAACATACTTTATAATAACCAAATCATACAGACTTTCTACTGCACATTCTCATCTAAATCCTTTTCACGTTGTTTTTCTCAAAGTTCACAGTGTTTACATGTGTTCCTTCAAAGCCAGATATTGTTCTTCAAACCCACAATTCCACCCCTTCCAACAGAGCAACTGTAACTTAGCTCCCCTCTTTATGTCCTTCATGGTGTAAGCTGATACTGACATTGTTGGTATAGTTTGCTCTGAGCCTCGCCCTGCCCACAGAGCCCATTGTGTAGAGAGATATGTACCATCACAGCGTGCAGCAGAGGTGTGTCCACTGCCTACATGGTACTGTATGTCTGGGAGCGTGTCAGAGAGATGTTTGTAATCATAGGAGTAGATTAGTACCCTGCTGCACATAAGTAGCTATACAGACATGTCATTTTCCCAGCAGGCTCTCATTACAGTATTGCTCCAGTTTATTGGAGCTGTAGCGCAACATGGGGCCAGACTAGGCCAACTTTTTCTCCTTCTCAGCGTTAACGATGCACAGAATATTACTCCACTCAGCTTATTTACTGTGAAATCCAACATGATGCATACAGGAGCCTTTGGCAGCTCACACTGTCTGTCTTTTAGTGGCGGATAAATAATTAACCAAAGAGTAGATAAGTGAACGAAACTGTCTGTCTCTTCAACCCCAAATGTTTTTAAAAACACTCCCTCATTGTTGAAGTTCATCGAGTTTTCCACCAATATGCTCAGAAAGATACTTGTTTATTCAAACTTCACTTACAGATAGCGCTAACTTTCTTTCATATAAAAGTTCCCTTCATGCTTTTTTAGCCCATCTGGCTCTGTTTTTTGTTCTTCACTGTGGTTTCTTCTCATTCTTAAGGGTTTTTTTTCAGGCCCTGCCAAAAAAAAAAAAAAGATTCTCAGAGCACATCTGAATAGAAGTGGACTGCAGCTTTACACAAGTTCTCTCTTTATTAATGTTGGACCTCTGCCAGGTGACATCAGTGAAAGCTGCTGGGTGCTCTGTAATGCTGTTTCGTTTCCTTTTTTCCAGCATAATTTATTGTCTGGTGGTCTTCCATAGAACAGTAGCCACATCTGTGCTGGTACCATTTTAAATATCATAATATGAATAATCACACTTATTGGAATTCGCCTTTCCTTTAATACAATTAGAAAATAAGATATAGGTAAAGCTTTAAATTAACTAATTTAGTTCAATCATATGGTATCATATGACTGAACATTTGATAGCGGTACCATATGATATTGGTATTACATGTATTTAAGTCTTTAAAAAACACCAATCATTTGTTTGTTCTGAAAAATTTGGACTGATTCCCATGAAATGAGGAAGTTTTACTGCATGTGATTTAATGCCTTCATGAGGTATGGTGAAGATGATTCTTTCCACTTGAAAAGTGGAAGTTATCAGTCTATTGTGTTCAGGTGCGTTTCCTGACCTGCTGCTTGGGCAAGACAATAAAAGACTTCCTAGCTTGTCTGCTTCTGGAAGAAGAGGATGCATCAAATGCATTTGCTATAAAAAAAAGGATTAATTGACATTTCAAAAACTATACATATACAAGTCAAAATGGCTTGTATATGTCACAGCATTGTGTAAGCTATAAACACAACAGGAGAGAACACTTAAAAATGTAGTACTCGCCATACAGAATCGTTTTGCTGATCTCCGCCATCTCAGCAACTACAGTATCATACAATTTTCCAGTTTTCCATTAGAAATTAGAATATGAGTGGGTGTTCAAATGCAATGTTGATGTTGGTTTGTGGTATTTACCATCTATTATATGGTTTGTATTTTTTTTGTAAGTAAGTAAAGATGAAAACAGGCGGTAGAAGCTCCTTTCCAGACGTAATTCCTTATTCATTTATCCGCAAGATCGAAAATCTGGATTTACACACCTATTTTTTTTTCATCTCATGTGTGAAAAAATGGAATATTAAACTTCAACAAATGTCAACAAAAAGAACACATTATAAAAATAATGGAAGATTTAAACTATTTATATTGACTCGACTTTGCAAAGAATATTTCATAGATGTCCACTTAGCCCTGCTTGTTTGGATTTATTAGCTGTTGGTGCCATTTTGGTAACCTGACGTAGTCCTACTCAATTCTAGTCAGAATATGAGTCTGATGCTGCTCCATAGAGCTGTGATTATGGGGCGTGTTTTGAACGAACCAGGAAAAAAAATGCCTCTGCACTCAATTGGACAGACGTACAACCAATAAGAGCAACGGAGTGCGTGACGTATGTTAAGCAACGCATAGTTGTTGTCAACAAAAATCAAAGCGTGCAGTTTCACGCCTAGAATAAGAAGATGAGCCTTGATCGCGTTTCTCTGTTCCTCTTTTAAAATTAAATTGCTGTCGATATCTTCTAGAACAGACCTAATAGCAGAATCTACTCACCTCAACTCTCCGGCGGCAGCCATTGTTGTTGTCGCCCAAGCGCGCTTTGGTCACGTGGTTGATTACGTTACTGTTGATCATCTGTCCATCATCGTATAAAGCCCGCCCTGACAATTTGATTGGATCGCCTGACAGTGGGCGGTAATACTCGCGCTACCATGGAGCAGAGCCAGACCGAACTTCCCGACCTCAAACCTTGTGGGCGGGACTAAGTTCGGAATGGCACCCAGGCTACCATTTTGGAGCTTCTTTGAAAAGCATTTTATTTTCCTCTTTTGACAGTTTTAAGTATAAAATTTAAAGCTGATGTTATTCTTCAATCAGGAATCAAAACTGAGAGCTCACTTGTTTTAAGATGCCAAACCTCAGCTCACATGACATATAAAAGACCGTTAACACATTTTTTTGGACCTAATTTATGCCATGGATTACAGAGAGCCATATAAGGTCATGGTCATTGTCTCGGCATCTAAAGGTCATGTCTTGGTACTTCTTGGTCACTGTTGGTGTGGTCTTGACTACAACATTACCACCAGCATTGTGTCACTATATTAATGCCCAGGCCTAAGGTGGTGGAAAGTTAGTCTTTTTACTCGACATAGATAGACATTTTCATAAAAGTATTTATAATTGGAAACATTTTTTCTAAATGTGGTCAAAGTTTTTGTTTGCAAAGCCAAACATTATTTAGAAATGAAATCAACTCTGAAGTTATTGACATAGATCTACTGTTATTGTTAAAAATACTTTAATTCAAAATATGTAATTATTAAAGGCTTTCTAAATATCTGTTTAGAAGAAATCTGCTATTATATACTAGATTAATCAGCCACTAGTCACTTTATAGTTTACATGTCTTTAAGTGTTTCCAACGTATGTATTGAACAGCAGATAAAAGTTATTCTTTAAAATGTCTTTTAGCACTTCTGTTACTGAAATCTCTAAGGAGAAGATCCTCCTGTGCAGACATGTTGCATGCCTGGACTCTGACTCACCAGGCGCATCATGTCCATGTGTTAGAGCAGGGCCATGGGGGTCTGCAAGACCTGCTGCCAACAGTAAATGTTTTAAAACATGGAGTTCATGTGAAAGAGCTGAGAATGACCTTTGACCTACCTTCCATGACTCATCTTAGATTGTCCAAAGGGAGGACCCTGTTATGTCCTAGACATCTTTATAACTCGCTCTGACCCCTGATATGCAGTATATTTTATATACTAACCCCACTCTGACCCCATTGCAAAAGCTACCCTTTTTTGCTGACCCCATATTTTTTCTTTGTCTACACAGAAAAGGAGAATCCATACGAGGATGTTGACCTGAAGCGGAGGAGTTTGAATAGGAAGCCTGGTCTCTCAGAGAGCAGCCGATCTTGGGCCACTATGGACAGGAAGCTTAACTCTCCGCCTCAGGTAAGTCCCACCGTTGTCAACATCAGCTGTTGGATAGATATTAATTTGCTAAATGACACCAAATTATGGCCTTTGGACTAAAATGCAATATCTGGAACAGGTGAAGAGTGGTGGACATTCTATAAGAAAAAGCACTACCCATTACTGACATGACATAAAAATATTGCCAGACTGAAGTTTTTTCAATCATTTCACTACTCTCAACTCAACTTTTTTATGGTATTAAATGTGATTTGTTATAACAAGATCAATAACATTTTTGACTATCCTCGTTTACAACTTCATTGTTAAACATTCTCTATATAAGCATATCATTGTAGGAATCTCTTTATTTTAGTTGCCATTTTTTAACTTCTTTGTCATTTAAGGTCCTGGCAGATTGACTCACTTTTTCCAAAATAAAGACAGATAATTAAACAAAACAAATAATAATCATCAGGGACAAAACTGTTTAAATAAATATAAAATTTTTTTCATAAGGAAGGAAATATCCCTCGGTAGTCACAATGTGGGGACATTGGCCCCTTGCTTTTAACCCATACCTTAAGGAGCAGTGTTCTGACACGTGTTCTTGTGTTCTCGCTAAGTACATTCTTGACAAGAACACAGGGAAGTATGGACTCCGGGAGAACAGGAGCACACAGCATAAATATGGGTCAACTGGAACAGAAGTGTACTCATGATTAACACAGTCAGATAAACACAAATCAAATGAATGTTTTGCCATCCATCCATTTTCCGTCATGCTTATTCGAAGTGGGGTTGCTAGGGGTGCTGGTGTCTATCTCCAGCTTTCTAAAGGGGAGAGGTGGGCTACACCTGGACAAGTTGCCAGTCTATCTCAGGGCAACACAGAGACAAACAGGACAAACAACCATTAAGGCACACACTCACGCTTAAGGAGAATTTAGAGAAGCCAACTACCTAACAGTCATGTTGTTGGACTGTGGGAGGAAGCCGGAGTACCCGTAGAGAACCCACGTATGCACAGGGAGAACATGCAAACTCCATGCAGAAAGACAGTGCTACCCACTGCGTTTTGCCAAATAAATGTTTTGCCAAATAAAGAAAAAATTCAGAGCCAGCGGTACTTAACACGTGGCTATGCCGAGAGAGGGCTGCTGCAGACGGACTAATGTTAGTCCTGGCTGCGTTTAGTCTTGGAGCTCCACTTGTTGCCACAGTGCATGCTGGGAAAGCTGTTAATCTTGAGAATGAAGTCTGCTCTGATGCATGCTCGGTAGAGAGGGAGGGGTGAGAACAACAGCCGGGGAATTTGTCTGTCCTCTGTCTTGTGTTCTTATGATTTGGAACAGTGCTAGGGCTGAGGCTGATTTCGTTTCATGAGCACATGAGAATGCACATCTACGCAACTACCCACGGGGATGGGTTAAATGCAAAGAGTTAATTTCTCCAGTGTGAGATAAATAAAGTTCTATTTCTTTGTCTTAGTTTTGAACCAATGAGCAGCCTCTCTTGCACTCAAACACCTAGCTCCACTTGGCCACTCTTCTACACCTGAAATTAGGTTAAATCTTATACTCAGCCTGTTTTTTCTGGATTTTTTTTTTCTGCCAAAGGAAATTGTTCCTCTACTGCTACACTCTTTCCACTGAGGGATTGCTATAAAGTCAGTATCCCATTGCAATCCTCTGGGCTTTCTTAGCTAACCTTTTCACTAGTCTGCATTTTACAGGCAGCTGAATTTGACTGCGTAATTACTGGGAATAGAATTGAATATAAAAGAAGTGTATCACCATTGCAATGAAGTGGATTGAGCTGAACTGAATTAGCTTGACTGAATTAAACATGTTTGTTCAGTTTGATTGCTTGATATGAAAGCCATAGATTGGTGCTATATAATTAAAACGCCTTGAAATGAATTTTAATCTTGGCTTTCACCTGAAAAGCATAGATTAAATACTGCTGTAACTGCCAATGACCTACTGTTAGGTTTAATTTCCATTTGGGATTAATAAAGTATTTTTGAATTTCAGCTGAATTGAATGAATAGAAGAACTCGTCAGTGATCAAGAAGGCAACTTTCAAAAGTGAATCTTTGTTGATTAGGTCAACCTGATTATGGATTTAGTAGCAACAAAGTCTACTCCTACAGATCCACAGGCTTTGTACAAAAATAAAAAAGAGAGAGGAAAGAAATCTATTGGTGAAAATGATGGCTGACTATAGTGTGTGAGCCAGGTGTTATTTGAGCTTGATTATAGCACTTCAAATATAGTTTCAACAATAGCAAAAGCAGTTATTTTGAATGAGACGTAAATGTCGATGGTTTTATGAATAATTTAAGTTTAAATAATGTGGTTAACATTATTTAAGTTATTAACTGATACCAATTTGATATGAAATTGAATTATTATTTTTATATACACAAATGTCATATAGTCTAAAGGAACATGGAATCTAAATCTTAAATTTGGATTGCATTATAGAGTTATTCTTTTTTTTTTTCTTGTTTGCACTAATTCACTTGTACTAATTCCCATTTGCAGTACGTCTCCTTTTGCTTTTGCTCTGTTTTTATCACTTCAAACGTTATGAAAGCACAAAGCTGCAGTCCTGTTTCTCTGTCACGCTGAACACGTACAATATTTTCATTTTATCTTCCAAACTTTAACCGTAGATGAGTTTGAAAAATTATTTAGTGCTTGGATTCAAACATATCATATTATGTTATATTACTAACAAACATCTGTTTCATTCGAAAAAATGAAACTGTTTCACTAGTTTCATTTTTCTTAAGTTAAATATGAGGATTTCTTTCTTTATTTCCAGTGCAAGGTTTACTGCCTGAATACTGAGAGTCATAGTCAGATTCAGGTGAAAACTCTTTCCTTTTCAAGTGAGCATGTTTTAAAAAAAATGCTCTTTAGGTGCTATAATGTTGGGTGTTGTTTAAACGTACCACCATCTTATAAAAGGCCCCATATGTATCAACAAATAGGACAAACAAAGGAACATGTCAGCAGTTTAGTCCATCAGGAAGTAATCTGGGGCATGAAAATAGCCACATTTAGGTGTCTTTGTTATGTGTGCCCTTTATTTATCATTTAAGTGGGAGGAGGTTAGCAGTTCAAAGAGCTCATTAATCTTTACAGCAATGACTAATATACATCCAGGTGTTCCCTTAGTTTCTAAACAGTCTGAAGAAGTGAAAAAACAAGCACAAAAAACCCCCAAACAGATTCGACAAGAGTGGAGGAACACAATAGATATTACATTTTCTAGTTTATTAAGATGTACCTGGGAATTTTTTATATTTTTTATTTTCAACAAGGCTGCAGCTACATTTATTTTAAACAAGATTAAGTTTAAACTGAGTATATTTAGTGAGAAAGAAGGTTTTTTTCACCTCAAATGCAAATTTTATTTATATTTTGTGGAGTTTTGAACAAAATTAATGCTCTCTGTTGTTTTCTCTTGGCAATTTTTAGAGGCTATACTCCCCACTTAAAGATTATTTGATTGCTTAATTAGTTGAAGTTGACTTTTTCAATAGTTGATGAATCATTATTAATAATAATTATCATTTAGAATTAAAAGAATGTGAAAAGGACAGATTTTTACCCTTTTCAGACCTTTTCCAGTCTCTGGCAAAAAAAATAAAGTTGAAAGCTGAGGCTGGGGAACTAATAGAATCTAATAGTAAAACTTCATCGGTTTGAAATGTTTTGGACAGCGTCTTTTCTCTTTTCTATGTCCAGCTTCCCTCCAAACCCAGCAGTCAGTCTCTCCGCCTCCCTGGTCCAAGTGACAGGAAGAGCCACCGCATGTCCCAGTTGTCCAAACGCTACAGCCACGATGAAATGCTTCTCATCCCCCAGCATGTCGGCATGTCATCGTCCCCCTGTGGCTTGCTGGATGACAGTGTCTGTGGCACCAGTGATTCCCTTCCCTCTCGCAGGCACTGGAGGATCCCCAAGGTACACACTGCTATGCTAGATACCACACAAAATCCTGCAGAAGCCTTTGTCACTGGATTGGAAATCTCACGAACCTGATCAGTTTTCTGTCGTAACCAAGCCAGAATCTTGGCAGTTCTGGATCATTTAGTATTCCTTACTATGGAACAGAGGTTTAATGAGAACAGACTTTGATCCAGCAAGACGTTTTGCATGGAAAATCAGCCCTTGAGGTGCATTTTAAAGAGCTTTACCTAAAGTATTTCTTTTTAATAATCTGCAACGCTTGAAATACATGCAGTGCACTTAAGACTATTACTTTTGGCAAGGAACATGCCTGCTTCCTCTATACTTAGGATCAAAAGACAAACAGAATGAACTCCAAGTTCCTCACAGAGAATTTCCTCCGGTTTCTGTTTACAGCTGGTCCAGAGGATAAACTCCATTTACTGCACTAAACGAGGGAAGAAGAGGCTAAAGAAGTTGTCCATGTCCAATCTTGAGACAGCATCTCTCAGAGGTAAGGCTGCTCCTTATTCCCTTTTATCCCAAGGCCAGATAAGTGGGTAAATATTTATATCTCCTCCGCCCACAGAGAGCCCTCTCTCTCCCTCTCTGTATGCTTTTCTCATGACATAAACACATATCTGAACATCCCCCGGCCCATAGAGAAAATAACCTTTTCTATTAAACTTTTTTTTTTTTTCCAGATGACAACAGTGAGAGTGAAAGTGACTCGGATGACAGGTTCAAAGGTGAGCAGTGATTTTATTTGATAGGTGAGGCCTAAATCTTTCCCTCTCAGCTTTCCCCAGAGCGTCAAAGTTGTGTCCTTCATCCAAGTTCGATAAGAAGGTTGAAAGAAAGTGCTTTTAGCGACCCACATAATTAAGCCCATTATTACCTAATATCTTTAAGTTCTTCCTATGGTGTTAATTTCATGTAAAACTTCTTCCCTCCTCAGCTCACACGCAGAGGTTATTGAAGCTGCAGTCCATTCTACGACGAGCTCCAAGCTACCGAACACTAGAGCTGCAGCTTATCGAGTGGCAGGAGAGGGAGCTCTTCGAGTACTTTGTTGTTGTTTCTCTAAAAAAGAAACCTGGCAAGAACTCCTACACACCAGAGGTCACCTATCAGTTCCCAAAGGTAAAAGTCTGAGCTTTATCTGAAACCTGCAGCTGGTCCTTTGAGGCAAACATGGCACCTGGTATAAACAATTGGTTTTAAAATTAGTGGCTAATAAAATATTATTTCCATCATTCTTATGATGCTATAAGCTCTGGATTATGTAAAGTTTTTTATACTTTCTCTGCCTCTCACTGTCATATTAATAGCCAAATAAATAAATGTTCTGTTGTTTTTTTTTCATGTGACTCTCCCTTCTGTTGAGTTCAAATCTCTAAGGGTTTATAGCCTAGAGCCCCAGACTCTGCTGAGAGTTAAAAATAACTGGAGTTCATTCATGTGAGGGACAAGAGTTTTTAGTTGTTTGAAAATAAACTTTACAGTCGTTTGGCTCTGCAGAAAGCTTTGGTAGACACACTGAAACGTTGATGGGCTAGAGGCTTTAATGAAGCATTTTATTCTGGTCTTCTATCTAATATCATCTAGTAATTTTGTCAACACTGAAGTTTTTGTTGTGTTGTTTTGCAGTTGGAGAGGCTGACCAAGCAGATGAGGGAGGCGGAGCAAAGACTGAAAGCTATTCCTCAGTTCTGTTTCCCAGATGCAAAAGACTGGAATCCTGTCTCTGAGTACAGCAGGTAAACCTGAGGGGAATGAACGAATCACCATGGCACCTGCTGATAGCTTTAGCTTTACATGGAGTTAGTATTTTTTTGTTTTATACCGCCATATTTTTTTTTTTTCTTTTTTCCATTTATGAAGACTGTTTGGGTTAGTTCTGATCAAAAGTTCACTTTAGTTTCTATTGCTCCACAGTAAATCAAATTGCATAATCACAGTAACAGGATTTCCTTGATTGTGATTACAAAGGACTGTGTGGATGAAATATTGAAGAAATAGAAAATCATGCATTCATAACTAACATGTGGTTGGTGACATGGAGACAGACTAACTCTCTTCTGTGATGTCTTCCTCTTGATTCTGTTGTTTTGTGCTGCAGTGAAACCTTCTCCTTCATGCTTACTGGGGAGGATGGCAGCAGGCGGTTCGGGTACTGCAGGCGCCTCCTGGTAAGAAGTTCCAACTCCCCTTTGACTGTCCATCACCCAGCCCACACCCTATTTAGTCATATTTGTTGTGACAGGCCTTTTTCTTTGAACACGTGATGTTTTTTTTTCCTGAAGGGATGTTCATGCGCTTGCCTGATTGTCCGCTGTGGTAACAGGAAGTAAATCATGAAAAACATGCAAAGCTTAACAGATTAAAAAGACTGAGATCAGAGAGGGGGGGGGTGGTTTCATAAGAGACCATTTGTTTTAGCAGCTGATCAGAATTTGTTTCAGTGCAGGAAAACCACTAATCCAGTTACCAGGAGAAAAACAAACCATACCCCGTTTTAAAGACGAAGGTTATTTCAGCTCATCACAAACAGTAATAAAAACATAATTACATTTATAAATCTGTCTCCCTACATGTAATTTGACCAAAAAATTACACATCATTTGAAATGCTTATGGTTAAAATCTGCATGTAATATGTAATAAAAACATAACAGGCTAAGTGAAAATTGACCCATTTAGTTTAACAAGGCTTTCTCAGGAGAGGGGAGGACAAAGAAAAACCAGGAAAAATCCAAACTTTGTCATTCTGGAGAATTTCCTCCCCGTAATGAGGCTGCAGAGCTCTTTGAAGTGTTTTGCTGAGCCTCTCATTTGGCCTGTGGGCAGAGAACAAAGCTGTGTGGGATGTTGTGACAGTACAGATGATTCTGTTTGCCATTTCTTGTTTTTTTGTGCATCCTTTTACATCTGCTGCATGTTTAGTTGTGATCCTTTACCCCGAACGTCTGAAATTCTAATATGTACGTGTGAAAAATAAAACCCTCCTCAGTAACACACACTTGGTCTAAGATTTGCTGAGACAGAAGCAGGTTTAAAAGAAGGCAAAAAGTAGGGAGCTGGTCTCTTTCAGTAACTTTGCTTCCTCTCCGCCATCCGTCCAGCAGTTGGCAGTAACCGAGCATTCCTAAGGACTTGAATCAAGCCCTACACAGTTGATTTAATCATCCGTTTGGAAAAGCAGAGGAGAAACAAGAGAGGAAAATTGTATACCTAATATGGACAAGTGGATTGGCGCTTGTTGAGTGCCTGTATTCATTTGTGTCTTTCTGACTGAGAGACTCTGTTGTTTTAAGCCATATAATGGTTTGGGAGAATGCAGGGGACAGCGGATATGATCAGGAGTAGATAAACCTGTGTTTAGGAGGGAGGTAACCACATGAAAGACTTTCTCAGATTAAATTAAAGACATCCCTGTGTTATCTTATCACTATGCGTTACCCTCGCTATTACTATGACCCTGTACATAATGGCTTTTTGTTTAATATACACAGATTACACTCAATAAAGCTGAATTTTTTCTTTGTGGTTATATTTTGTCCTTACTGGGGCCACAGAGGAGCCTAAAGAACCATAATGATCTCATTATCTTAGTTAAGAGACAGAAAAATTCTCCAGCAGTAGACTGTGGTGTTTTAAAATGTGACGGTCACCAACAAACAAGGAGGCGCTGACTGAAGGCAGCGGCACTTTCTTAAGTCCACTCTATAATAACTTGATTTAAAGTAAGCTGAATTTTTGTCATATTTTCTGGACAACTTGGTTGGAAAAAAAATTTAATCCTGTGAAGGTTTAAAACATTTTGGCTTAAGATTAACAGTCTTACTCTTTTAGAGTATGTCAGGGAAAAGAAACTTTCCTAAGTATCTAAGCGAAAATGTAATTTTTTGCTTTTATAACTTGATTTCTCAAATAAAATTAAAAAGGAGCCTTTAAAGAAATTACTCAAGTTAGAGTAAAAAAGTATTTTCTAAAAGACTACTTAAGTACTGAGTAATTGATCTACTTAGTACCCATAATCATAACAACTGATTTATTATTTTACAAAATGATGTAAAATGTAACCAAAAATGTTGATATGCAAATTCTGGTATTTCAAATAATAAGATCATAAAAAACATAACATACAATAAAAAATGTAGGTAAAATGAAAACTATTCAAATTAGACTTCTTCACTTAAACATTTTTTAAAAAATCCATAGTTATAATATGTTAGAATATGTTAACTTTCAGTTTACTGTTTACTGGATTTTCACTCAATCTCCAAATAACATGACAGACTTAGCAGATGGAAAATAGCATTTAACTAAAAAGCTTTGAGCACTAATAAGAAGAAAGTGTGTCTCTCAATGGTTCATATTAGTTTTAAAAACCTTGTTTTTTTTAAATCAAGTCCCTCCCAATAGATGGAGCAGCCAGGCATTTTACTCACCCAAGAGTAAATGATAAATGGCTTTTACTTATATAGCGCTTTTTTAATTTAGGAGACGCGACCAAACACTGATGGTGGTAAGCTACATTATAGCCACAGCTACCCTGGGGCTCACTGACTGAAGCAAGGCTGCCGTGCACTGATGCCACCGGGCCAACTGACCACCATCAGTAGACAATGATGGTGAAGTGTTTTGCCCAAGGACATGACATTGAAGCAGGAGTCAGAGCTTAACCCACAACCTCCTGTTTAAGTGGAAAGTCCTGCATAGAATACCCGTATTAAGATGGGTAGTAGTACTTCATCATATTTTTACTAAAAAAATACTTTTAAAAGTAAATATTTTGCATAAAGTTACTCAAGTCAAAGTAATTGAGTAAATGTAACTAGTAACTACCCACCTCTGCAAACAATGATGTACAAATGTCTGGTGTTTAAAATAATTATAGCTCATGGCTAAAGGAAACTTTATATTTAGTTTGTTGAAAATAAACTTTAAAGCCAAAATTTAATATTACATAAGACCAATTTAAAAGGAGGATTCTTTAAGACATAAATCTTAATTTTGTCCTAAAAAGTTATGTTAAAATTACCGAAATGACAATTAGCTAGCCAATATACCTACACTTAGGAGAATTCTCATTGTTGAACAGAGAAATAACAGCCTTGAGGGAAATTGTCCAACATCCTTTCAAGAGTTTGGTGGAAGTTCTGGAAATGGTAACTACAGCAGGAGGCAGTGCTATAAGAGCAAGTACACACATGTATTTTTTAGGACATGGTCTACAGATGTGTTACACCACCACACCAACCAGAGACGACTTCTAAAACGTCTCACCTGGGCTCAAAGAGAACAGGACCTGATTTTAGATAAAACTATCGATTAATGCTGAAAACAATCTTCCATAAAGACTAAATAGCTTGCAGTCCAGTGGGAAGTTTCCAGTCAGGGATGACTTGGAAAACTGTATCTACTGTTGTTCCTCCATGTGTTTTATCAACTCCAAAGTGAACGCAGCTGTCTACCAGGAGATTTTAGAGCACTTCATGCGTCATTCTGTTGACAGGCTTTATGGAGAGGCTGATTTTATTTTCCAGCATGAAAAAAATAGGAATTTTGATACATTGATAGTATAACCATCCATCTTCCAAGAACCATTCCCATCATGAAACAGTCCTTTTCAGTCAATGTTTATGGAGTATCTGTTGATTTCTGGCAATCAAATGGCTTTCAGTCATTCGTCTATTATATACATACCAAGAGTACTTTGATTGAATCTTTTTATTTGTATAAATAAAACTCAATACCAGCCTGTCCGGCTCTGATTAATTAGCTGTTCTAATACAATAGTCAATTTGTGAAAATCACAGCATTCCTGAATATTATTGACTCAGCTGTTTTTTTTTTTTTTCTTACAATAAAACTCCAATAAATCCTCTAACTTGATGAATGTGTTATGTTATACAGCTGAAAGGCCTCAGTGAGTGTATTTATAGCCGGTTTTAGGAACATCTGCAGATGTATCTCCTTACGTCTGATCCATGTTCTCTCGTTATTCCAGCCAACTGGGAAAGGAGCTCGTCTTCCAGAGGTGTACTGTGTCATCAGCCGGCTGGGCTGTTTTGACTTGTTCTCCACGGTGGGTTCAGTCTTGCATGTACACACTCCCACACTTAATCTGATCCACATCCACCTAGATGTGTGTGTGTGCGGCAGCTGTGTTTAACTGCCTGACAGCTGATGGAAATAACTTTCAGTTGTATCTCTGCAGACTTGACTTCATTTTTTGAATTTCCCAGAACAATTGTTTCCTTCACTTAAGTTTCACAGCACTCATTTTTTGATTATTCTAGTTTTTCTTGTGACTTTATTTAAAAAAAAGGAAGTTCTAAAAATTGAATAAATATATATGCAGTCATTATGAATTCTAATGCTTGATTTTTTTAGCTGTAGCATTCAGCCTTTAATTGAGTTGATAAAGATAAAATGACTGCAAAATTCCAAAGAGTTAGTGAGTGTTGATGGTTCAGTCTGTTTGAAGCAAGCTGTCCTCTTACTGCTCCTTTCAGATCCTGGATGAGGTGGAAAGGCGCAGGGGAATCTCGGCAGCACTGGTTTATCCCTTCATGAGGAGTCTGATGGAGTCCCCCTTTCCTGCTCCAGGGAAGATTATAAAAGTAAAGACCTTCCTGCCTGGTGCAGGAAATGAGGTCAGTGTTTCTGCCAAAGCTGGAGACCGTCGCTTCATTTCATTTAATCTAAATAGCACAGCTTTTCATCACATGTACTTTTCAAGAACATAGATGCTCGACTTTTTAAAGGTGGTTTAGACACATAAGGATATATGTTTTAAGCTTTAATGTGTGTGTCATGTCTTGTAGGTCATAGAGCTAAGGCGACCCAATGACTCTAGATTGGAGCATGTTGACTTTGATAGCCTGTTCAGATGCCTCAGTGTGCGACAGGTGATACGCGTCTTTGCGTCGCTGCTCTTGGAGCGCAGAGTCATCTTTGTGGCTGATAAGCTCAGGTGAGTTTTCCCCATTTTCAAACTAATTTTGACATATCTGAATTATTAGCAACAATCTCTGCTATAGAAAATAGATGGGGGATTTGTTTTCATTTTATTGTTCCATCCCCACTTATAGGTTATCCCCTTATTCATAAGAAGAGATTTTATTCCCTAATCAAGTTAAAATAACGATGAGGTCTGCTACTGATGAAGCTTGTAAGAACCACATAACCATATTCTAACCCACTTAAATGATCTGTTGTATAGATTAACCGAAAATATTAGATATCAAATGTCTAAAACAGCAAAGAAATTGTGATTGTTATAGAGAAACAGGAGCCCCACTCATAATTTTTCTTTTCTTAAATTCTTCAGAGGTTGTGGTCTTTGAATCCTGTTTAAAGGATTGAGCTTATGTGCTGAAAATGTGAAAGCTTAAGAATATTTATGCTACAAACAAATGTTGTATAAATAAAGTAATACAATTTATTGAAATATAATATGACTTAATTTGACCATAAACTCACTCTTGATGCAGCAGAACACTGAGTTCAACTCACTTGATCCAAACTCTTTGCCAAATTCATAAAGGGTGCACATGAAACGTGACCCACAGACTTCAGAGACATGAGGGAATTACATTTTCTACATAATCCCATATTGCATTATTAATATTTCAATACACCAAGACAGGAAGCAGTTTTGTCATACCCTCTTCCATTATTATGGTGGCCAGTTCAGCTGTTTTGATACTAGATACTGGACTGGATATTCAGAATCGAAAAATTTTTTGTTATTAAAAGGTAGTTGCAGAATTCATGTTGTTGTTTTTTATTTAATCTGACTTTTTTATCTAGCTCAAAGACACAATGGTACCTATGTGTTACATAGTGTACAGAAAATAGATAATGTAGTCATGATTTGTTATGTCATAGTTACTTTATCATGGCTCTGATGACACAAGTGAATGTATCTCTTCACCAAGAATGTAAACTAAATGCCTTATTAATCTTGAACTCTGATTTGTTATACGGTTGTATATTCTCAGCTTATTAGTTCAGTGTTATTAGATGTTCACATTTGATTCTGATGTCTGATTCTGTGTCCGGTCTTTCGGTCAGCTCTCATACCAGCAGGGAAGTTGGGCATCATCATCGAAGTAGATTCAGGGTGGGGTCTGATAAGATGTGAGGAGTCCCCAAGGACTCCATGTCCCACTCTGTCCTGTTACAGAAAAGAGTGAGATACTTTTAGAGCTTTGGGTGGAGATTTGAGCAGAGAAGTTATCTCTCCACATATCAGGGCCCAGTTTAAACAAACATCAGTGGGGGCAGTGACTGTGAGGGGAAGGAATGTACTTCCTGTGTGCACGACTCTGCCCTCTGTGATCTGTAGCTCAACTGTCGCCGTTTGACTTATGATGCCCCGTTCACTCCCAACGTACGAGCGAGTACTCTGGTAATGAGCAACAAAGATGAAGTTTCTCCAGGGACACAGACATAGGTGATAGGATCTGGGAGTCACCGGGAGGGAATCATGAATTTCACTCATGATACTTTATAAAGATTCGTTGTGCAGAGTCAACCCATTCTTCAGTATTATGAGATTGCGGATAACCTTCATTTACAACCTCATTTTTAAAAATCTGTTTGAATTTTGTGAGGGTAATGTAGCTTATATTTTGGACTTACGATTTCTTACTTGATTTATGATCACGGAGCCAAAAGATTAAAAAAAATATTAATTATCTATACAACCATATTGCTTCTGCAGGGTTTGGATTTTACCTAATAAATTTAACTGAAATGTTAGTCACCCAGCGTGATGTTCTGCATAAATGCAGCACTGCTTTGAAGTTTTGCTTGTTTGGAGAATAATCTTTATTGCCAATAAGGAAAGATAAGATCAATAGCCTATTAAGAGCAATTGCTGCTACAAATGGATGTGACAAGGGATATAATGCCAGTAATGCTGAAGTTTTTGGACTAAAAATTAAATGTTATTGTGTCTTTTTGACAGCATAGGGCAAAGGGTTTGTCCAGAGCACCTACCAATGACTTGGTAGCTTGCATTTAAAAAAATAAAACAACTAACTCATCTGAATATCAAAATAATCCAGAATCCAATATGAAGTTTGATTTATGATGAAACAGGGTGATGGGCCTTTAGAGAGCTGTGCATCATCCAAAATCACACGAACACAATGAATTGATCAATGTAGGAAAAGGAAAAATTGCACACAAAAAAAAGCAAAACCATCAGCAAACACCCAAGATGATAAAAACTGATAGTTTGTGTCCCAGAAAACTTCAATTTTAAGAAATAAGTGTTAAGACTGGTTTGATGTGCTGCTTAATCACTGGGTCTACTTCACATTTAAGCAGCTTTTGATTCATTTACATTTTGTTTTGCCATGTAAAACACATCCATATGTGTATAAATAATATCTCACAGCTTAGCATAATCATACATACTTAATTTGGAAACTTCCTTTATAACCAAAACGTCAGTTAAAACTAAAATCATCTTTGTTGTTTTGTCTGTAGTTGTTTGTGCAGAACTTCTTTGTGTTTCTAAGTAAAGAGTAAATAAAGTAAAATATGCTTATTTATATTTCGTGATGGTTTTAGCACTGTCACATGGACTGATTTAACAAATACTGACACTGATGATAGCTGAGTTTCTCCCTCTGCACCTCTAATATATTATATGTCCTCAATGTACTGTAGAGTTTTAGGTATGTTATTTTCCTGGAGTGTTGTATATCTATAAACATGCGAACCAGGAGAGAATAAACCATCATAGGCAATAACTGTTAAGTGAAGTCTTGTAATATTACCCTGCTAAAAGGGTTGTATTCGCCATGTGGTACCTGTAATAACAAGTTTGAAGCTTAATCAGATAAACACATCATCAACTCTGTCAATGTTATTTCTCAGCTTGACTGACATGCCTGGTGAGTTTTCTTTCTCGCTCTGTGGCAAATAGCCTTGTGTGTCCTTAGGCTGGGACTGTGAACAGTTAGGAGCTCATATGTGTGTCTCTGCGTTGATCTCATGGCACAAAGCAGGGAAGTGCTCTGGCCTGTGCCACTGGCTTTGTGTTTGTTATATTATCTTGTTACAGTAAGTCCTGGAGGTCCTCTGCAAACATAAAAATAAAGAGAAGAATTAGGTGAAATCTGAGAGGTTTAGAAGAGCAGTAAAAAGGAGTACAAAAAGCTTCTTGGGTTTCTCCAGGAAAACAATCTTGTCTCCTGTGGCTGAGTTTTGCTAAAAGTGACAAACTAAATATGTATTTCAGATGTGGTGTTGGCGTATATTTTTGTTACAATCTTTTTTTTTTTTTTTTTTTTTTAGAACTTATTCGTTTTTGTTATGGAGGATAAACTTCATGTTGGTGGATCTGTTTGTGCGGATTCAGCTGTGGTCTTTCTCCCCCTCTGCTAGTAACAAACACTATGTGGAGTGTGCTCTGCAGTACAGAAACAAATTCAAATCCATGTTGATGAAGTGTAACCGCTTTCTTAGTGAAATTTAATTTGACAAACACATTGTAAACATAGGAAATGTTTATGCTTTTCAAAGAGTTGTTTACGACATGGGTATCACCAGAAGGTGGAGCTTCATTCAGTAGACAGAGCGTAGAGTTGTTTCATTTTAGTTTGATAGATAGACCCACTACAAAGGGGGTCCAATCTGACACATTGTTGTTCTATAAATAACGTTATCCAGGCATAAACAAGGTAGGACAGTATTTTCTGCTATTTATGGTCATTTTTTTAGGTTTTTAGTTGTCGGGCCATTTTAATTCTGATTTTTGTGAAGTTTTTGTAGTTCTTTCATATTTCATAACAGAGAAAAAGCAGATTGAGGCCTGCAATATTTTAGGAAAACATAGGTTATATTAGTGTTAAATTGTGTTATATAACAGTTTTCTTCTATTATTTTTTTTCCAAATCATTTCCTAACTTCAGTCAATCTTTAGTATATCTAAGATTAAGATTTACATTGCATTTAATTGTCCAATTACAAATAGATTTTTTCTCACAGTTAAATCTTTTATATTATCAAACTCATTGCATTAATGTAAAAAGTAGAAATAAAGTGCAGTTTTCAAAGGGTAATTTAATATTATAAAGCCAACCTTCTACTTGTGTAAAAAGTAATTAACTCCCATGTCTGTGTCACTTCCCAGTCATCCGGTTAATGGAAACCATAAAGATCGGAGGCAATTAGACTTTCACACTATTTTTTTTACTGAAGATGTTTCAACACCTATCTAGGAGTATTTGGCAATTGTGTTGGTTCACACTATAGCAGTTTGTAGATGGAGCGCTGATGATTTGAAGCAGCATGGAGGTCCATCCTTCTGATTATTTTCTTAGTCTGATGCTAATCAATGACGTACCTATCATATCCTGGGGTCTTTGATGGTCTGGTTTCTATTGGCTCTGTGTTAGGCCATTTGAATTGATGCCTCTGATTTTAGCCTGTTTTGTGGTTAATTAACCCCTACAAGTAATAATAATTAGAATTTGTTGTTGTCATCAAGTTTTTGTTATAATTTGCTTTAATTAATTTCCTTTGAGTTTTAATAAAGTATTTTTGAACTGTATTGAATGGAATTGAATGAACAGGCCAGAAGACTTTTCACAATAGCTGTGGAGAACTATATGCCATCTGTCTTTATGGGATTCTGTTAACATAGCCATGTTAATGAGTTTCTGGGCAATAAGATTTTGTTTAAAGGAGCAGCTAGTGATAAAATAATTGTTTTAGATAGAAAGAATGATGTGAAAAAATAGGCTATCTTTATAGATTGAATATGGTGTGGTGTTACACCGTATATCTATGCTGTTCTTCTGTTTTTTGTTTACAAGCCAGGCTGATTGCGTGCATGTATGTATGTTCATGTGAATATCTGCCACTCAGGGCATAGCCCCTGCCTGCCCATAAAATACTACTACCAAAGTAGCAAAATGGTGGCGAGTGGATCAAAGAATTCGCCTAAACACA